AAACATATCAATACAAAGTAACGGGAAAATATTGTGAGAATGACAACACCATTTCAGCTGTAAATGTGCATATGGAAAAGCCAATGACGATAAGATTGTTTTAAAAATATATTTTTTTCTGCGTAGTTTTAAGGTTCATTGTATTCCTCCGCGCAAAACTTCTATTTGTTTACGTTTGTCACAGGCGATCGTTGACCACTGAGCTCAGAAGTCATTTGGAAAAAATATGGTGTTTAGTTGAGTTTTTTTAAATGGAGCAATATATAAGGTAGTAGTATATAGATGCTACATTATTTTCAGTGTTTGTCGTCCGAACAATTTTCTCATCGCGAGCACGTGGATAAAATCGAAAGACCACGACAGGTGGACTCGAGATGTTATCCACGTGCTCACGATGCGAAAATTGTTCCCACGACAAACCCTGAAAATACAGTGTGATAATCTATAATATACTACCACTAATAGGAGTGTGTTGGTAAATAGGACATGGGTATCTCACTTTAACCAAATTACATATGGCCATTCTGATAAAGCTATTTTGACAGTTTCACGGTATAACATAGAGTTTTAATTATAAATCATGCATGAAACAAGTAATGAAAGATATTTATTTAGAATATGCAAGACATTTTTCTTCGCCATTGGCGGCAGTTTCTGTCCTATCTTATGGATTCGAATATGTATGACAAAGTCGACACGAACGACCTTACAGTCACACACGTCCAACACTCACCTGCTGTATGATGCCTCTGCCCATCTTGAGGAATAACTTCAAAAGTGGTGTAACAGTATTCCTGACTGTTATTCTGGACTCTGTATCAGTCGTTGTCTGTGTCAATGTTTCCCAAGACTTATGTCGTTAATGATAACGGGAGCCATATCAAAGATGTCACTACAGTAACATTTGACTAATTCATATTCTACTAATTCTATTCACTTCCTTTTTAATGTGGCTTAGTGTTGCTTTCTCTTTCGTTTTGACCTTAATTGCCCCGGGATCATGAAACGGACTTAAGTCTGAGTTTTGAAATTTTGTCCAACACTAAAGCCGTTTTCATGTTCCTAGGGCCTGGTGTTCTTTGTGTTATAGTTGAATCGGGTCTAGGTGACGGGAATACGCCCCAAAGCTTGCCCAGACAAGGTACGACTTGTCCAATGTTTTGTGTAGTACTGTTAGTATGGTTTTACTAGTTTTACTCTGTGTTATCCATTCAAAGTACATTGAACGGACAATAATCGATCTGGCCCTAGTTGCTCAAAGGTTGGTTAGTTAATGACTGGTAATTGAAAATTTGAAAAACCCTGAATAAAACAAATTTAGAACATCTGCCATCACGTCACTGCTATAGATTTGTTAAGAGAGATTAGATTATTGTGTTTTGAGGATGTGTTTTGCTTTGAAAAAAAACACCTTTAAGACTAAACTTGTTTTTTCACTCAACACTGATTAGAGTTAATTTTTATAACCAACCTTTGAGAAACAGTAATACATAAATATATATATCTTTTCTTTCGAAATGTTTCTTTTATTTCCGATATGTTTAGTTTCCTTTTTAAATGTTTCTTTCCTATATGTTTCTTTTCCTTTCGATTTTTTCCTTTGATTTTCGATATGTTTATTTTCAATATGAATATTTTCCTTTAAACATTTTTCTTTCCTTTCGATATGTACCTTTTTCTTCGATGTTTATCTTTTACTTCGATGTGTATCTTTTACTTCGATGTTTATCTTTATTTTCGATGTGTATTTTTTACTTCGAGGTTTATCTTTAACTTCGATGTGTATCTTTTATTTCGATGTGTATCTTTTCTTCAATGTGTAACTTTTATTTCGATGTGTATTTTTTACTTCGAGGTTTATCTTTAACTTCGATGTGTATCTTTTATTTCGATGTGTATCTTTTCTTCAATGTGTAACTTTTATTTCGATGTGTATTTTTTACTTCGAGGTTTATCTTTAACTTCGATGTGTATCTTTTATTTCGATGTGTATCTTTTCTTCAATGTGTAACTTTTATTTCGATGTGTATTTTTTACTTCGAGGTTTATCTTTAACTTCGATGTGTATCTTTTATTTCGATGTGTATCTTTTCTTCAATGTGTAACTTTTAATTCGATGTGTATCTTTTACTTCGATGTTTATCTTTAACTTCGATGTGTATCTTTTATTTCGATGTGTATCTTTTATTTCGATGTTTATCTTTAACTTCGATGTGTATCTTTTATTTCGATGTGTATTTTTTATTTCGATGTATATTTTTTATTTCGATGTGTATCTTTCACTTCGATGTTTATCTTTCCCTTTGGATAAGCATTCTTTCCCTTCGTAACTCGATGCTTGATGAAAACTGTTGGCAAGTTTTAAAGTCGCCAGCATGATTTCATTGGGACTTATCATATTTCCTTGTATTTTGTGAATACTGACGCTGTTGTTTATGCCCATTATTGTGTTTTGTGGTGTCATTGTCATTTCTCTAGTTCTCACTTTGGTGACGTGTCGTTATTCGTCCTAGATTAACAAAACGGGGGCCTGTTTGTTTATGTGGAACAATCTGTACGTCCTGGTTTAAATGTAACAATTTCGGGTATACACTCCGAGGGACATGGGAAAGTTTATGCAGGCTTTGCAAGGATCGGTCAAGGCTCGTATCAGACTACTGGGGCCGACCTTATTTTATAAACGAACAACTCTGGTCCAACCGGTTCAACCGTTTGGATCGCAAAAAAAGAAAACGGCCCGGGTTTCGTAGATGTATCAAAAGACGTTTGCCCTTCTTCACTTGTCCTTTTTGTGCATAGGTTTTCATTTAGGTTTTTGATTTGTTCATATCTTGTACCAATTTCAACAATTGTATTGTCAGATACGAGACAATGGACAGCGTGACTATCAAAGTGTTATAGCATGTCTAAGTTGTGCATACCTGTGTGTATCATCACACGTTATACAAATATAATACCGACAATTTCCCAAATCAATTCAGATGCTTTGTCACAATACTACTACTTCTAATACATATGTAATAATTCGAGGTTATATATACCCATTTATCACAACCTAGTTCACAGGTCGTCTTAAAGCCGTTCACAAGTTATTACCGTGGTAATACAATTAATGGAACGTTTGATTGAAAAAAAAATGCACAATAAATAAGAAAACAAACAGAACTTGATGTTTTAATTATGCAGTTTTACGTGATGAAGCATGTACCATATATAGGAATTAAACTTACAGAAAGTCCTCATACTTACCAAATCTCAGACTTACAGCAATTCTTAAAACATGGTATTTTTATACATCGAATTATTTCAAAGCAACTGAACTGTTTTGGAAACTTACCTTACTATTTGATTATTCACACCGTTAAGATATTGATAAATTTGTTTCAAAATTACTCGAAGTCACGATACGAAATACGTTTTTGACAGGCATTGATCATTCTATTTGAACCAAATATAATTGTTGATGTCACGGAAAATGAAAGTCTTTCATCTGTTATTGCAATCTATAACAAGATGTCTGCAAGGAAAAGAAGGCGTGTTGTAGTTCTATTGACAAAATAAGACATATTCTCAAGTTTCGTGATGAAATATCTGTAAGGCGTGGCTACTATTTTGGTACAAGTTTAAATTCTTTGAATTATAGTTCGGTTTTTATTATTAACAATGATATCGAATTCTTTGGAAAATCTTAATAATCATGAAATGAACTTTGTGCAAAGGTTAATTTGAATTTCCTCGAGCCTTACAATTTCAACGTAATGAGCGCACGTGGTTTTTTGAAACCGTTTTGGCAAGGAGAAATATTGCTCATTCCGTACGTACTAATTACAAAACCTAAACCCTTTTTTAATTGCACATAATTCTAGCCCGGTGATCCGTGACGTTGATAATGAACTGTGTGGCTTAGTCTTGAGTGGAACTGTCAGACCTGGCGTCTCTCTGTGTTAGTTGAAACAAGAACCAAGTTACAGCGAGTTCAATTAGCTTAACCAAATTAATTTTAAAAATTCTCTTTGTAACCATGTTTTTAAAAAAAACTGCTGATATATTCATTATATTTTTCCGAAGACGATAATTTAGAATTCTACAAATTATAGTTTCTCATTACAAATATATAAATTTTGTAATGTACTTTGGGAACGGGCGTATATACATGTACATCTAAGTATAAATAGCTTGGTTTGTGTCTGGTTATTAATGAATATATACGTATACAGTAGCGGAGACAAAGGACGGTCTACCACACAAAGATAGCCAGTAATTAAGCCTTCTCGCCATGTGGAGTCATGACAGGATAGAATTAACAACTCGTCAATTTAAAAGGAGACTTGTTAGGAGTTACGTTGGGTGTTAAGGAACACGGCGATCTTCTGACTCAGAGATAAGACATCTACGTCATTGACGCGACACATGTACAAATGTTACACACGTACGTACAATGTACTTCGTCAAGGACGAGGTCGAGACAGACTATTGTCAGAAATCTTACAGATTATCAGATATTATGAAAATATTTTTATCTTATTAATAAACTTATCAATATAAAGAGTACAAAAAGTGCTTAGTTAGTTCCCTGTAGGGCATTTTTCGTTACGGAAGTCACCAGTGGTCCGAAAATAATTGCCGATACAGTTGTGTGCCTATTCGGTTTTGTTTATAAGACTTAAGTGTGAATATATTTAAGGACATCACTTGATTGTACTCTTCGCTATTAGAAATAACTTTATTTAATAGAGAGGGTTGGCTATAAACGACATCCTTTGTGTTTTGTAATTAGTTAATGAAACAGGATTAGAAAGGATAGCTTAACACATGTATACACCAACTATATCCTCGCCATTGATAATGTACGCAACCTTCTCCGTAGATTCAGTTTATTCCTTCCTGACAATTGACGAATCATGTTATGTTTGGTACATAGAAAGCAATAGGAAGTGGTTTAAAGCGAGAACAGGTATCTCCAATACATAATGATAAAACAAACAACAAAATGCCCTTCAACGAAATTACCGTTTATTGTCTGTGCCGAGTGCTAAGATCAGAATGGTGCATATTATAGTGCAACAGCATGTTTGTCCTAGCGAGTGTTTCAAAATAACGTCAAACTTTCACAGTGAAGAACTCGTACTTGCAGAAATATAGAAATTCAAGTAACGTGATTTAAAATAGCCTATTTATTTTTGTTAAGAAACTTAAAGAATGCCAACATTAAATAAATTCATACCAGAGTCTCTTGGCGTGTCGTGTGGCTTGTATAACACAGTCGTTGTAATTAAATGCATCTGTGGTTGTATGTTAATGTTGCAATGTCAGAACTTCACTAACAAGGCGTCATCTAATCCTCTCTCCCACTTTATAATGTTACACTATTTATTATAGTAACAAATAATGTTGAAGTTTGTCTCCCACGTTTTGTTGTCAATACATATCCTAAATAGTCTTTACCATAGCTGTATTGCGCCATTTTTTCTTTCGTAATATCGTTTCACTCACAAAGGACCAAACTTAATACTTCTTTATTATCGACCTTTCCTCTTTTCTCAAATTGGATATGAAAAAGAGCAAGATATGTCAATTTATTTTTCTCGGCCTTTCGCCCTTTCACATTTTTAATTTGAAAGGGGAATAGTTTGAACTTATTGAATATTTCCTTTCGCTTATTTGATATACGAAAAGAGGGTATTTAAGAAGTGTCGTATATGAGACAGGACGACGGGACGATGTCAAAGCATCTGCTTTTAGGGCAAAAAGGTCAAAACGGCACAAAGTTGTCGAAACATTAGCAATGCCTATTATTTAGAGCAGCATGTCAATTGACTTACATACATGTAAGCGAATGTTCGACGTTCGTTTTGTTGGTTACTCTGTATGTTGCAAAACAACCCTGGTGTTATGTTAAAGATGTCAATTCAAACCTAACACACGATTTTGTGTAACTGGCAAATTTTCAGGTGAATCTGTCATTGTTAAAAATAAAGTAGATGTTTAAATAAAACAGTGTTTTGTGCATTTTGTCAATGCATTTTATTTTGCGTAGCGGCAAACGTATCATTATGATAAAGCTTACTAGCCAAGTGTGTACGTGCGTAGATCGGTCGTCCAGTCAAATTCATGTTGTGAAACAAACAAGTAACTTAACAGTAATGAACAATTTCATTGAGCTATTTCAAATTACTTTGCTTTCTCGTCTCGTCAATGTCAACGTCCCATGAAGAAATATTCACAGTTGTCACGTGATATATTAATATGACGAGATAACTTATCAGCATATGTAACATAATTATTTTCCTGTGGTACACAGTGACGTCATACATGACATGTCAAGCATTTTAAAAAGAGTGACGATCCACCTTAGTAATTCCAAGGTCCCAGACAGACCCGCTGCCTGATTAATTCATGGACAATGATTCTCATAGCGTTGTTTGAAACGTAACAAAACAATTATTTAATAATCCTGTCATGGTAAATAGCACATATCACAAAACATTTTCGTTAATGATGGTATTTTTTCTCTGGAACATCGCGAAGATAAATCAGTTTCCGGATTTTCTTTTGAGCTTTCATTTTAGTTTTTAATTGTGGATGTTCCACTTGTGAAATCGGTTCGAGTCTAACACCATTGTGAGTTTGACTATCTCCCCTTCGAAGAGCTCTTGCTTTCTTTTTCTTGTTCCAGTATTCCTCGTCCCCATTGGACGAATGCTCGTACTCAGGAATGGCTGATAAACTAGGAACTGTGTTCAAAATAGTGCGAGGGGATTGTTTCGGAGGAGGTGACGTCACAGAAATTTCTCTCCTTTTCTTTGCCTTTTGAAACATTATAGCATTTTCTGGAATAATGTTTAGCTGAGGTTGATATAGTGTCATTCTTTTTGCCCTCTTTGGTCTAATTTTCAAAGCATCGAACGATAGCGCGGGAACGTCATTGTCAGACAGTTCCCCACTGGTAGACGAGTCTTCGCTGCTTTTTGTGTCGGATCTATCGCCGTCGTTTGAAGAACTGCTATAGCTAACTACAGTGGGTTCANGATATACCATGTGCTCTCTTTATCGTATGTGCTTTATACATGTACCATGTGTTCTCTATATCGTATGTGCTTTATACATGTACCATGTGTTCTCTATATCGTATGTGCTTTATACATGTGCTTTATACATGTACCATGTGTTCTCTATATCGTATGTGCTTTATACATGTACCATGTGTTCTCTATATCGTATGTGCTTTATACATGTNCAATACCTTCTCTCGCGCACCCATTTTGTTTACGTTTCCGTCGAGTTCTCTTTCGTATCGAATTATTTTTTTATCACATTCCTGTTTTGCACGGGAAAGACTTGAGCTGACGTGGCGGGAATTAGGTTCGCCGTTGTATGCATTAGTATGAGATGATCCAGAAGATGTAGACATCACATTTGGTCACGTGTCCATCGTGACCTTCTGCTGAGATTTGGAGAGTTAATTTTCATTGACGAAGGTAACATGATCTGCAAAGTAAAACAAAATACATTTAATTTATTTTTGATATTCGAACATCGATATTGGTAAACCCTGCTTACAGAAAAAAAATCTGAATACAATATTGTCATGTTTGTGTCACCCCGTCAATATGACTTTTCACTTTATAGAACTTGATGAAACCCTTTTGAACTTTCGACCGTTTAGTGTTACATTGTACGATACCCACTTAATAAGGTATTAACTGGTCAATTGCGCAATCCAGATCGGGTGGTCATTACTGTAAATAACACCTATCACGGACATTGCTCAGTGGTATCGGGAACTTAACGTCTAATCCTATCATAACATTGTATGGCATAATTCAACATGTGCTCTTTATACCGTGTGTTCTTTATATATACCGTGTGTTCTTTATATATACCGTGTGTTCTTCATATATACCATGTGCTATTTATATATATTGTGTGTTCTTTATATATACCGTGTGTTCTTTATACCGTGTGTTCTTTATACCGTGTGTTCTTTATACATGTATCATGGGTTCTCTATATCGTATGTGCTTTATACATGTACCATGTGTTCTCTATATCGTATGTGCTTTATACATGTGCTTTATACATGTACCATGTGTTCTTTATATCGTATGTGCTTTATACATGTACCATGGGTTCTCTATATCGTATGTGCTTTATACATGTACCATGGGTTCTCTATATCGTATGTGCTTTATACATGTGCTTTATACATGTACCATGTGTTCTTTATATCGTATGTGCTTTATACATGTACCATGTGTTCTCTATATCGTATGTGCTTTATACATGTACCATGGGTTCTCTATATCGTATGTGCTTTATACATGTACCATGGGTTCTCTATATCGTATGTGCTTTATACATGTGCTTTATACATGTACCATGTGTTCTTTATATCGTATGTGCTTTATACATGTACCATGGGTTCTCTATATCGTATGTGCTTTATACATGTACCATGGGTTCTCTATATCGTATGTGCTTTATACCGTGTCCTTTTTATACCATGTGTTCTTTATACCGTGTGTTCTGTATACCGTGTGTTCTGTATACCATTTTTTCTGTATACCGTGTGTTCAGTTTACCGTGTGTTCTGTTTACCATGTGTTCTGTAAACCGTGTGTTGTGTATACCATGTGTTATGTATACCGTGTGTTCAGTTTACCGTGTGTTCTGTTTACCATGTGTTCTGTAAACCGTGTGTTGTGTATACCATGTATTCTGTATACCGTGTCCTTATTATACCATGTGTTGTGTATACCTTGTGTTGTGTATACCGTGTGTTGTGAATACCGTGTGTTGTATATACCATGTGTTACAGTGAGTGTATCTATACCTTGTGTTCTGAAAACCGTGTGTTGGGTATACCATGTGTTCTGTATTCCGTGTGTTCTGTATTCTGTATACCGTGTGTTCTGTATACCATGTGTTCTGTATACCATATGTTCTCTATACCATGTGTTCTGTATACCGTGTGTTATGTTAACCATGTGTTCTGTATACCGTGTGTTATGTATACCGTGTGTTCTGTATACCATGTGTTCTGTATACTCTGTGTTCTGTAAACCATGTGTTTTGTATTCCATATGTTATGTATACCATGTGTTCTGTATACCGTGTGTTCTGTATACCGTGTGTTCTGTTTACCATGTGTTCTGTATACTGTGTGTTATGTGTACCATGTGTTCTGTATACCGTGTGTTATATATACCGTGTGTTCTGTATACCGTGTGTTCTGTATACCATGTGTTCTGTATACTGTTGGTTATGTATATTGTGGGTTATGTTTACCATGTGTTATGTATACCATATGTTATGTAAACCATGTGTTAGGTATACCATATGTTATGTATACCATGTGTTCTGTATTCCATGTGTTCTGTATATCATGTGTTATGTATATTGTGGGTTATGTATACCATGTGTTATGTATACGATGTGTTATGTATACTGTGGGTTATGTATACCATGTGTTATGTATACCATATGTTCTGTATACCGTGTGTTATGTATAACATGTGTTCTGTATACCGTGTGTTCTCTATACCGTGTTTTCTGTATATTGTGGGTTATGTTTACCATGTGTAATGTATACCATATGTTATGTATACCCTGTGTTCTGTGTACAGTGTGTTATGTATACCGTGTGTTGTGTATACCGAGTGTTGTGTTTACCATGTGTTGTGTATACCGTGTGTTGTGTATACAATGTGTTATGTATATCGGGTGTTCTGTATACATGTGTTCTGTAAACCGTGTGTGATATTTACCGTGTGTTATGTATACCATATGTTATGTATACCATGTGTTATGTATACAGTGTATTCTGTTTATAGTGTGTTATGTATACCGTGTGTTATGTATACCATGTGTTATGTATACCGTGTGTTGTGTAAACCGTGTGTTGTGTATACCATGTGTTTTGTATACCATGTGTTATGTATACCATGTGTTCTGTATACCGTGTGTTATGTACACCATGTGTTCTGTATACCATGTGTTCTGTATACCGTGTGTTCTCTATACCGTGTTTTCTGTATATTGTGGGTTATGTTTACCATGTGTTATGTATACCATATGTTATGTATACCATGTGTTCTGTATACAGTGTGTTATGTATACCGTGTGTTGACTATACCGTGTGTTGTGTATACCGTGTGTTGTGTATACCATGTGGTCTGTTTACAGTGTGTTATGTATACCGTGTTTTGTGTATACCGTGGGTTATGGATACCATATGTTATGTATACCGTGTGTTGTGTATACCATGTATTATGTATACCGTGTGTTCTGTATACCATGTGTTCTGTAAACCGTGTGTAATATATATCGTGTGCTCTTGGTACCGTGTGTTCTTTATATCGTGTGTGCTTTATACCGTGTGTTATTTGTACATGTACCGTGTGTTCTTTATATCTTTTGTACGTGACACAATATCGTGTGTTATTTGTACATGTACCGTGTGTTCTTTGTATCGTGTATTCTGTATACAGTGTGCTCTTTATACGTATCCGAAGTAAGCGTAGTAAGTGAGGTACATGCTACCATGTGCTGATTATGATATTTCAGTGAGTGAGCACTTCTTTAATGCTCTTCAGTGTGGTGGGGATGGGGATACACTGATCATTAGATGGCCAACTCAACCTAAATGTCCCCTTCCCCACTTTGTACATCAAACCTTCCGACGATGGCTGATGACGTAAATGTTATTAGAACATTTCATATTTAACATAATTGTAAAATGATCGGGTTAGCAAATTGTTTTTAAACATGTGATCAATTTATTTAAATTGATATTGATCTATCTAAGCAAAACCTAATAAAATATGATAATTGTAGCTACATGTATTATGCGGTGACAATAACCCCTTCAGTTGTACAAAGAGCTACACTATATGTAATGTTAGACAACTTGTCAAGTCTGTGAATCACCACTAGTATATACCTATTATAAGGTGCAGGTACCGCCTCGTAAATGATACAGTGATTTGCCACGCACAAACATTTATCATAATTGCCATGGTGAAATTAAAAAAAATTGAACAATTATGAATTTTACAAATTCTATAATCACCATTATTGTCGTGATTCCAGATTTGATCATATTTCATGAAATAAGATAACAAGAATTGTATTAGCGTTGTTATAGCAGTGTCGACATTGCTATAATGAATGTGATACTTGTGTCGTCTTCACTGGGAGGGGGTATCGCTCAGGGAATCGAGAATTATACCAGATACATTTACCTTACAGAAGTATTATCCACTACGAATATAGAATTCATTTCACGCGCAGCTCCTTATTTATATTCTCACGAATAAAAAGTAATTTGTGGGTTATATCATTTGTAATTATCATAAACGCTACCTGCACCGATGCGAGATAATTGAGTATTGTACAAAATCTTACACACGATTTTTATTGCACCTGTGGGCCATAGGTAACGAACAGGATCTAATTGAGAATTAAGACCTATATATCGTGAGAAACATGGTTGAGTTCTCTGTACCTTTCAAATAAACCAGACCAAACACTGTATTATGATATATTGCGTAATCTCTATTGATACTTTTTTTTATAGAATTGTATTTTTCGCCAAATCAATTACATGTACATTCAGTTTTCACTCCAAATCACGTATAAATCTAGTAAAATTCACATGTTACATCATATATGTCATGGACATACAATTTAAAAGCTCGTATGCAAAGTACATATTAACATTGTCCATCGATACTACACTTTTCTGATTAATCCGTACCATGAGACTAAAGTGTCCTTAAAAACCACTGTATAGAAATCAAAATATCCAGACTGATGAGGGAAATAAAATCCAGCGTCCGGACTAACGAGGTGCTATTGTACAAGTGCTAATAACCAATGTTTTCGACCTATGAGGTACGGATTCCCCACTGTCCGGACTAAAGAGGTTTCATTGTACATGTAAATATACTAGTAACTAATGTTTCCGGACTAGTAAGCTAAAGGTTCCCCGATGTCCGGACTAACGAGGTTATATTGTACATGTGGTAAAAACGAAT